TTTTTTCGGTTTGAATCACATGGACTATTTTGCTTGTCTTCTTGTATTTTTTTGCAACAAGAAGTTAAAATGCTGAAGTCTTCATCTACATTTTTGACATTTTTACTTTCAACCAAAAATATAGAGAATCCAAAGAAAATAGACAAATTTTTTCTAGTTCTTTTTTTTTCAAATTCTTTATTTTCAAAACTGAACAGTTTTACTATCTGTATTATATATAAAACATCAAATAAATACAGAATACAATTACAAATCGAAAGAAAAAAAGCCAATGGATTATATATTAAAACCATATATTTAATATTCCATCGTTACATTTTATATAGAAATGTTTTTTTACGTTTAATAATGTATTAGCAAGTAAATCATGTAATTTTTCATTATTCATACATTTTGGATAATAAATAGTTAAACTAAATAATGAACTCATATCTGTCAATAGATGATATAACCAATCATTCGATGAAAAAAACCATTCTGATGTATTAACATAAAGTGTAAGAATATGAATTCGTGGAGAAAAATTTTTAAGATAAATTGCTTGTTCTCGAGTCATTTCATAGATTGTTAATTGTCGAATACGTCTATTATCATTTGCAAATAATATTTGATCTTTATTAGTAATATTTAATGTTCGAAAATATAGATGTGTTGCTTTTCGATGATTGTAAATATACACACATGGAAAGGCTATCGTAGAAGAAGTATCAGATCCAGATCTAAAATTTAAAAAAAAAAAACAAAAAAAGACTTATAAATTTATTTTATTAAGAATCAAAACATACTTCTGTAAAATCCATTGATGTCTAGTCAAAGAATTGATTGTACTATTTGAAGAAGGTTTCTGAGAAAATGTAATTGTTTGAATATTTGGAAAAAATTTTAAAATCATGCTTGAATAAATATATTCGTCTAGAGTAGACGTCGAAGATAGTGATAAATGACGAACATTAGCATAATAATATGGATAAATTCGAAAAAAAAATTCTTGTATATCATCAACAATATCAAATGTATCAAAAGCAAATGGTAATGTATAAATATAACGTTCTTTAGATTGACGAGCAAAATGTGTAAAAACTTCAATAGATCGATCAAGCCAAAAATGAGATGTAAATGAATAGAGATATAAATGATCAGGTGCATAATTTGTTATTGCATTATTAGTACTATGTAAATGACGTATATAGAATTGTAATTCTTTTAATTGTGAAAATGTTCGAAAAAATTTTTCTAATGCTAATCCACCTATTTCTTGATTGGAAACCGTAGATGAAGTCTAAATTGAATAAAAAAAAATATATATATATATTGAAAAATTTTGAAAGAAAAGACAAAAACATTTTTTTTTCAAAATGCCGACAATTCGAAATTTGAGCAAAATTGTTTTTTGTCATGATTGGATAGAATACATTCAAACTTAGGAAAATTAGGTTTGAAAAAATTAGACAAATCTATAAAAATTAAAATACGCTAAAAGCATCAAATGCCAGTATTTATTCGAATTCTCCTTTCATTTTACTCGTTATATAGTTAGGATATTGTTAAGAAAATCGATTTTTTCGATATGATACCACATCATATCATAAATACGAGTTTCTATTCAAAGATTTCGGCCATTAGAACTTCAATTCCAATTGAAACAAATATCATATTCAAAATCAGCAGAAAAATCTGTACATTGAAGAGTATACTTAATATTTAAAACTAATTTTCATCGAATTTCGATCTTAGAGAAAGCACAGGCGAGAGTATTCGAAAATAATAGTGAACGGGCGTCAGCACCAAAATTTTCAGTCTTATGGCGTTAAACATATACATACTTTTTTCCTAACTATATGATGAGTAAAATCAAAGAAGAATTCGGATAAATACGTTTCACAACATAAATATCGTTTGAATATATCATTTTGTGAAACCTCATCGAAAAGAAACGTTGGCGTATATAGCATAAAAATTTGTGCCTACTCCCGCTCAGGAGCATAGCCGGATGGTGTCTCTGCAATCCCCTTGGCTAGAAAACACCTGAAGGGATAAGGATAAAAAACCTTTTCGCAAAACAAAAAATGATTTTCCTGCGAATGCGCACCTCCTTGGAAAATCCCTGGCTATACCCTGTCCCCTTCACAGACTATATATTAGTAACGAGCCGTTACAATATATTAACTACTTTCTTATTGTATTTCTGTAGGGTGAAGTAAATGTATGATGAAGGAATGTGTCCCTCTAGATAGATAGAATCAAACAATCTTCTGTAATTTGCAACAATAGGCTACATCATATTTCACATTTTAATCCCGCAGGGATTACTCTAACAGCTTTTCATAGATAACTCAACGAGTTCTATTCAATCATGACAAAAAAAAACTTTGTTGCCAATATGTTAAATTTATTTATTTAACCTCATCATGTAGAATTGCTTGTAATGATAATTGTTTTAATTTATTATGTGGTATGAGAATTTTTTGTAAAGTTTTAAATAAAATTGATTTTTTAACAGTGTTAACATTAACTATTAAAAAATCAATTTTATTTAAAACTTTACAAAAAATTCTCATACCACATAATAAATTAAAACAATTATCATTACAAGCAATTCTACATGATGAGGTTAAATAAATAAATTTAACATATTGGCAACAAAGTTTTTTTTTGTCATGATTGAATAGAACTCGTTGAGTTATCTATGAAAAGCTGTTAGAGTAATCCCTGCGGGATTAAAATGTGAAATATGATGTAGCCTATTGTTGCAAATTACAGAAGATTGTTTGATTCTATCTATCTAGAGGGACACATTCCTTCATCATACATTTACTTCACCCTACAGAAATACAATAAGAAAGTAGTTAATATATTGTAACGGCTCGTTACTAATATATAGTCTGTGAAGGGGACAGGGTATAGCCAGGGATTTTCCAAGGAGGTGCGCATTCGCAGGAAAATCATTTTTTGTTTTGCGAAAAGGTTTTTTATCCTTATCCCTTCAGGTGTTTTCTAGCCAAGGGGATTGCAGAGACACCATCCGGCTATGCTCCTGAGCGGGAGTAGGCACAAATTTTTATGCTATATACGCCAACGTTTCTTTTCGATGAGGTTTCACAAAATGATATATTCAAACGATATTTATGTTGTGAAACGTATTTATCCGAATTCTTCTTTGATTTTACTCATCATATAGTTAGGAAAAAAGTATGTATATGTTTAACGCCATAAGACTGAAAATTTTGGTGCTGACGCCCGTTCACTATTATTTTCGAATACTCTCGCCTGTGCTTTCTCTAAGATCGAAATTCGATGAAAATTAGTTTTAAATATTAAGTATACTCTTCAATGTACAGATTTTTCTGCTGATTTTGAATATGATATTTGTTTCAATTGGAATTGAAGTTCTAATGGCCGAAATCTTTGAATAGAAACTCGTATTTATGATATGATGTGGTATCATATCGAAAAAATCGATTTTCTTAACAATATCCTAACTATATAACGAGTAAAATGAAAGGAGAATTCGAATAAATACTGGCATTTGATGCTTTTAGCGTATTTTAATTTTTATAGATTTGTCTAATTTTTTCAAACCTAATTTTCCTAAGTTTGAATGTATTCTATCCAATCATGACAAAAAACAATTTTGCTCAAATTTCGAATTGTCGGCATTTTGAAAAAAAAATGTTTTTGTCTTTTCTTTCAAAATTTTTCAATATATATATATATTTTTTTTTATTCAATTTAGACTTCATCTACGGTTTCCAATCAAGAAATAGGTGGATTAGCATTAGAAAAATTTTTTCGAACATTTTCACAATTAAAAGAATTACAATTCTATATACGTCATTTACATAGTACTAATAATGCAATAACAAATTATGCACCTGATCATTTATATCTCTATTCATTTACATCTCATTTTTGGCTTGATCGATCTATTGAAGTTTTTACACATTTTGCTCGTCAATCTAAAGAACGTTATATTTATACATTACCATTTGCTTTTGATACATTTGATATTGTTGATGATATACAAGAATTTTTTTTTCGAATTTATCCATATTATTATGCTAATGTTCGTCATTTATCACTATCTTCGACGTCTACTCTAGACGAATATATTTATTCAAGCATGATTTTAAAATTTTTTCCAAATATTCAAACAATTACATTTTCTCAGAAACCTTCTTCAAATAGTACAATCAATTCTTTGACTAGACATCAATGGATTTTACAGAAGTATGTTTTGATTCTTAATAAAATAAATTTATAAGTCTTTTTTTGTTTTTTTTTTTTAAATTTTAGATCTGGATCTGATACTTCTTCTACGATAGCCTTTCCATGTGTGTATATTTACAATCATCGAAAAGCAACACATCTATATTTTCGAACATTAAATATTACTAATAAAGATCAAATATTATTTGCAAATGATAATAGACGTATTCGACAATTAACAATCTATGAAATGACTCGAGAACAAGCAATTTATCTTAAAAATTTTTCTCCACGAATTCATATTCTTACACTTTATGTTAATACATCAGAATGGTTTTTTTCATCGAATGATTGGTTATATCATCTATTGACAGATATGAGTTCATTATTTAGTTTAACTATTTATTATCCAAAATGTATGAATAATGAAAAATTACATGATTTACTTGCTAATACATTATTAAACGTAAAAAAACATTTCTATATAAAATGTAACGATGGAATATTAAATATATGGTTTTAATATATAATCCATTGGCTTTTTTTCTTTCGATTTGTAATTGTATTCTGTATTTATTTGATGTTTTATATATAATACAGATAGTAAAACTGTTCAGTTTTGAAAATAAAGAATTTGAAAAAAAAAGAACTAGAAAAAATTTGTCTATTTTCTTTGGATTCTCTATATTTTTGGTTGAAAGTAAAAATGTCAAAAATGTAGATGAAGACTTCAGCATTTTAACTTCTTGTTGCAAAAAAATACAAGAAGACAAGCAAAATAGTCCATGTGATTCAAACCGAAAAAA